AGTTAAAGCTACTTTGATCTAGATCAGTGGTGGTTTAATGGTTAGGGAAGCGCACTTGTAATTGAAAGATTTCTGGTTCAAATCCCTGATCTGCAACATACTACTGAGGTACCTTAAGCAAGGTACTGCTCCCTGGGTGCTGAATTAGCTGCCCCCTGCTATGTCACGATGTCACATATGGGTTAAATGCAGAGGACACATTTTGTTGTGTGCTCTGTTGTGTCAACACTGATCACCAATTTAAAAAAATTAGCTTACACCTGAATAGGCAGGGCTGTAGCCAGGATTTTTAAAATATTGAGGTCAAAACTGTTATCCCCTCCTAGGTGTGTCCTGTAATGGATCATGATTATTGGAGTTCCAGAAAAAATACTGAGAACTTGACCTTATGGTCCTCAGTGGTAGGTATAGGAATGTGAATAGGTACATGTACTGTTGCCTTTCCAACAATAACTTTACCTGGAGTGTCTGGCAGCAACATTGTTACTTTTCCTATGAGCACACAGAGTAAAGAAAAAGGGTCACTGTCCTGTGGAACAGTTTTGTTCCTCAAGGTACAAACAACACTCATGTACCCCCAATGGTACAAAAATGTTCCTCAGAGTCCATTTCTGTACCATAAAAGAAACATTTACCTACAGCTAGGGTACATTTGGCAGACCCTTGGGGGTACAGCCCCAGTAACGTGTAATTGTACTCTTAAAGGTACAAATTTGTAATTTTTTCTGACAGTGTCGACCAGCATCAAAGTTGTTTATAATTGGACTATGAACAGGAGAAAACTGACCGGCTTAATGATATTGAGAGTTTGAGACTTGTGTTAGGGTTTCACTGAACTTACAAAGTTCATAGGGAATGGTCACCCCACCCTCTGTGCACGTCCTCTCAGGTTAGGTGTACTACCAGTGTCCAAGCTGGTCTCCCCTCCTTCTCAGACTGCTCCATTACCATGCAGGCAAATGCTTTCAGTTCTTATATGCCTATTGTAGCACAAAAGTGAAGGAGATATGCTGGCCAGGATCTGCTAATTCAACCACCCTGACAACAACCCAACATTAATCTGACCTTTAATTTTACCCCTATCTTGTGCATTATTTCATTTTCTGACCTTGAACAGGAGAGGTACCTCACACTATCAAATCTCTAACCCAGGGGTAGGCTACTCTGATCCTGGAATGCCGGCATCCAGCAAGATTTCCAACCTACCTGGTGTCTGATGACCCACACCTGATCTCAGGCAGATAGGAACTCATTAGGTAGGATAAATCCAAATGCCTGTCGGATACCGGCACTCCAGGATCAGGGTTGCCTACCCCTTCAGAGTTAACTCATTAAACTAGTGCTCTTTAACCTCCACTCCTGTCCATTTTTGTTTCACATTAAAATATTTAAATTCAACCACATGAAAAGCCAAAATTAATCAGACCTTAATAGCCACATAAAGAAAGCTGAAATATAAGCTAGTTTAGGTGAGAAAGGAAGAACACCAAGGCACAAAATTCTCAACTTTGTTTAACCCACTGCAAGGTTCACATCAAATTCACCATTTTAGGAAAAGAAAAGTCAACTGAATAAATGTTAAAATAGTCATCAGCCTTTCAATTCAGCATTGAAGTAGGAGACCGAGGGAAATTAGACAGCTCTCTTTCAAATCCTGCTATTATTCATCTACTGGGAAAGTGTCAGATTTTAAACCTACAGGTTTTTACCTGCAAACTATTAACAATGATATGACATTCTCCTCTCTAAATGCACCCCTCTCTTTAACTTATTTTCACAATGTATTGGAGTAAATTCAATGTCATTTAATACAGCGATGCAAGATCTGAACCACAAAATCCAATTATTTTCCATATTACACTGCCAACTCCTTCGCAAATTTGGCAGCTAGAGATCTTCAAATATGTGCTTTTTGCAGTTCCATTTACTCAGACAAAAATTCTTTATTGCGTTTTCTTTCATTGATACTGTGGTGTCTCGATGGTTCTAAAGGCTTTAGTTGCTTTCTTGTGGTGTTTCAGCACTTCTAAGTCCATCGGGTAACTGTCCTATACCTCCCCCAACCTCACACAGCGTTATTAGCCAGACTTTAATACTCACGTATAGAGCTGTAACTCCATCAAAAACTGAATCAAGAATACAGATGTTTTACATTCTCCTTTAATTATGGTGCGTATCATCTATACCTGCCGACTGGTGTTTTGATCGGTCATAAGTCACAAGTTTTAGATGTGGGATCTAAGCAAATTATTGAAATTGCCTTGTGAGGTGACTTGGTATACTAATAAAGTTTACTAAGTAGAGTAGTGTCTATTAGCGATTTAAAATAGTAGACTAATAATCATCTGATCCCGTATCCATCATCAGGGTCGCGACTACCTGGAGAACTTGGGGTACATCGAACACGTATATGCGTCAATACGTGAATAAACTCTAAGTGCAGTATAGCTATATGTAAATGGTGGAAGCTGGATCATAACAGCCTAAAGCGACACCTAGCGATACAGTCGTGTATCAGCACGCCATTGAGAAAAAACGAGTTAAACGAGAAGGGTCTTGTAGTTAAACAGCCGGGGCTGCGTTTCCCAGAAGTTTCTGTTAGTAACTTACATTCAGTTGCATGATTCCAGCTAAGTAATCAGCAAGGACGCTTTCGCAAAACGCGCCACGGGACGTGTTAGTTAGGGGTGGTGATATACATGTACATTCATTACCTCGGCTCTGCAAAGTGAATGGCCGATGAATGGAGATTATTCTCTTGTAGATATGGAGCTAGACTAATTAGACGCAAACTTCTAATAATGTTAGTTAATTCAAATAATTTTTCATCAAATTAATTTAATTGTTATTATTATTTGATTGGGATCTTTTTGTGAACTTTAAGAAATCTATGTTTTAATAGCTTAGCTTGGACATTTCTAAAGTTTTCTTTTTGGAAATGTACATCTAAAAATATCAGGTATTTTGCTAATTGGGTATTTAAACCCGGTATGGTCTATTTGAGGGATATTACACAGTAAATTAACAAAGGCAATTAACTACTTTAACTCCTTTTCATCAAAGCCATACAGTATATATCAGATCATTGTCAATAAAACAAAGGCAAGGGAATTTCACGCTCTGCCTGGGAGAGCTGGGATCTCCTTGGGCAGAAGGAAAAAGGAAATTTATAATGGGACTAATTAAGGCCCTGGGATGTACAGAAATGGAAAGACCTGGTCAGTAGCCCATCATCTTCCATGGTCACACAGCATTCTATATTTCCATGGTTACCACTTGCCAAGGGTTCAACACAATGTCATTTGCTAGCTTGAATGTTGTCTAGATTTAACATTGACCAATGCTGGGTGTCCCAACCTTGTACTGGCTCCATCTAATCACAGGGTAGGGAAGGATCATGCACTGATTACAGTACATTGCCACACCCACCACATGACAAATCACCTCAGGGATGAGAACCTGAGTACTGCCATGTGGCTGGTGATACCTCAGCACCACACTAGTTTGAATGGACCAGCATGAGGCTTTTTCCCAGTGGCTGGAGTGCCAATCCTTCCACTAACCCCCAAGTTATTCCCTGTAAGTTGGAGGACCTCCTTATAGGGCTGGATGTAGATTAACATCGTACCCAGGATGAAGCAATTGCAGGTTAAGGGCCCAACAGAGTTGAATCACTCTTGGCATTCAAACTTTTTCGATTCAGTTAGATTAGGGAGACCCCCACAAAACAAGTCTCCCAGCTCCTTTCTTTCCTGGCCCACTTACCAAACAGGATATACTCTATTTCAGGGGTACTCAACTATAACACCAAGGTCACAATTACATTAGCAACACAAAGCCAAGGTCCAGCAGGAAGGACCTACAATAAAATTTACATGGGGGGGGGGGGCATGATAAATTTTGCTGAGCTCGGGGAATGTTGACAGTTTAATAACCACTGAACTAGCCCAGGGATGGACTCAGCACATGTGGTTAACTAAAGTCAGAGACTCCCAGGTAATAGACAGCATGTCTGATCAGGTTGGTTCAACAGCAACTATATAGCAATGCATTATTGTGCAGTATAATAATGCACCCATTCCCCTGCAATTTAACAGAGGAGGAGAGGTAAGAAGTATGCATTGATCACAGTGAGTAAGGAGCATGCACTGATTACAGTAAGTAAAGAACATGCACTGATCACAGTGAGTAAGGAGCATGCACTGATTACAGTGAGTTGCCACACCAACCACATGACAAACCACCTCAGGGATGAGTTCGTTCTTGGAAGGTTAGTTAGCAAGACCAGTCTTGCCAGGACCACAAATATGATCTTTGCGTTCTTGGAATTGAGAACCACCTGAGGTTAGACAACTGTAAGCAAAGTAACCAGGACAACCCTAAAGTAACCAGTTGAAATATTGTAATACAATTATGGACTATATTGTCAGCATCGGGCTCCGACGAACCAGAAATCAGGCGAGTTACAGCCAGGAGTTCAGGTAACGGGGTTTATTTAAGGGAGGGATGGACATCTACGGCTAATGCACTGACACTACAATGACAAGTCTGGGGAAGACTGACTCAGACGAGGACTAAATATAAAAGACGGGCTAGACCTAACAGGACACAGGTGATCACACTCAGGGCTGAACACGAGGTAACGAGGTAGGCGTGGCACACATCAGGAGCGGACGGAGCGGGACGTGACATATATAAATTAGAGACACATTTAATTTGATTTGATTAAAAAAGTAAGTAACTTTTCAGGAAAGGCCTAAAACATACTGAGCCTTCAGCTGCCCAAATAGATTCTGCTGCTGGGCCAGTGGGCATCTCCTTACAGAGGACAGTTTCTAGATACCCTGTAGCTGGTATGAGGAGGCGCAACAAAAATTTGTAGTTTATTAAAAAAAGAAAACAAAGAGTAGTGAACTGACCTCAGTGCCATGATGTAATGAATCACATATATCATTGCACAGCTGACATGATGCTACATAAACAATGAGTACAAACCTACAGACATTAAAACATGGTATATTTATTGCAAAATCACAGCTGGAAGCAATACTGTTATTTTTTTTTTGCAAACAATATTTTCAAGGCACATAAATTGAATACAAATCAATGCCAGTCAATAAATTTCTATACAGAGAACTGATGGCACTTTAGTAACCTGAAAAGCAAATTTAAATAGCCTTCAGATTTATTTTGTACAAAGTAAGTTGAAGTGGAGCCTACAGATGTTTTCAAAATATGTAACTACGGATACACTGAGCCACTGAACAAAAACACAGCTGGGCTGGGGTTCAGGAAAGCCTAAAGGTAGCAATGCTGTTCTCGCATGATTACTGTTCTGCTGGACTGATGTACAAGTATTAAACATTCCCTTTAAATGTGGATCTGCCAGTTGATCAGTTTAAGCAAACTGCTTCACTCTTAAATGGTGTACCTTGACAGTTTAAAACATCTTTAAATCCCTTTCAAAAGGGTTTTTTTGAGATGTTTTCACAGTGTTCAATTATCCCTGTCTCACTTTTAAATGTCCATGTTTTCATAAGCTTATAAGTCAAACAGTGATTATTTAGTTTACTTGTTTGGGTTACAAAGGAACCCTGTGTGAGATTCACAGACACAAGTCCCCCCCGACAAGCTGGCAGCAACACGGCCGACAATCGCGGGTGATCTCATTATATCCCAAAGACAAACGAAAGAAGAGCTTAAACAACAAAAATACTCATTTGAAGTAACTCTAAAAGCAAAGTGAGAAAGCAATGGAGAGCAAACATTAAAATTTATTTAAAAAATGTATAGAAGAAAATATAAATGGGTTTTTATAAACACTTCCGTAGTGTCATCAACAAATGCCTTTGGACTGTATTGACTACAGTGATTGTTTTTCAAACAATGATAAAAGGACTATTCCTCTTTCAAGATTCAAAACAAACCAATGTTTTGACACCACCCCCCAGCTCCAGGGCTCTGGATTGTGTGATAGATGGACTTGGTAGTACCCTGCCTTATACAGGGCAGGCCAAAAGGTATGTATACAGCTTTTATTTTACATAGTAAAGGTTATAAAGGTTATAAAGTAACATTTTTATTTTGCAAAATTGTTTTTAAAGGTAGGTATACAGTTTTGACAACACCTTTACACAGCGGTGGATCGGGCGACATGGCGGCACTGAATGGCCACCATGTTCACCCAACCGGACACACATGGACTTTTTTTTGGGTGTAGTAAAGGAGAAGGTTTTTGAGAGGAAGCCCCACACAGTGGATGAATTGAAGGAGTTCATCTCGCAAGCATTTGTGGACATTGATGCTAACTGGGATTTGTGTGCTAAAGTGTGTCACAGTGACAGGGACAGGCTTCAGGAATGTATCAACATTGACGGAAGACATTTCAAACACATAGGAGACTAAATATGACTCAATCAGTACTGTAAAATTAAAGCAGTATACCTACTTTTAAAAATGACGTTGTGAAATAAAAACCTACTTTTAGCCCACCCTGTACACGGTGGTTCCTGCATATTCAAAATAAACCTACACTGAAGAATCAGGAATCCAGGGCTCACCACATGTAAACCTGGGTGGGTAGGGTCAGTGAAATTGGCGTAAAATGCCTCACGCCAAGTGCAGTAAATGGGTCTGAACAGGGCAGACCCCAATGGCATGCATGTCAAGCCATGTGTCGGTCCATTGCTCTCTCACTGTAACCGGATCCATTAAAGCTCATCACGCAGCGGCCCACCAGTAGCGTGCAGAGGGTGCCATGCTGTTTATCCAGCTGAAATACCACACAAACCGTCTGTCCATTTCAGGTCTGCTGAATAAGCTGGCCTCGTTCTCCATCCTGCTCTCCTTCTAATGACCCACATTTAGGAGGCTCTCCTGCTCCTCGCCCTTAACTTCCACAATCCCTCACCGTCCCACTTTTCCCCTGGCGATCATCTGCTCCTTTAAACTTCCCCTCTCTCGTCTTGTGTTCCCACAATGCACCCCTGCTGCATTCTAATGCACAGCTTTCCTACAGGCCAACACGATAACCACGGGTCAGGTCCCATTTCATTGCTGTATTGTATTTGTACTAATAGGAGGAGATGCTGCACAAGTCACTGATGAACGTACATAATGCCCAAATAAAGCACAACCCCACCTAGCATACTAGGCAAACGGACTCGACGATGGGAGTTATTTAATGCTAATGGTACTTCTAAAGCAGTTAGTATCCTCCATGCCCCCTTGTGGTCAACCTGGCTATTTGCAGACAGGGAAAGCTCCCCTTCATGTTGTAGGTGTACGAAAGTCAAGTGCTAAGTCTTGCAGGCCCAGGATGTGGCCGTCAAGCCAAGACCCATGGAGCTCTGTAGCTACAGGTGTTGCAAAGCCTCCTGGGCCTGCTCTGTGTACACGTCGCCTCTGCCTTCCCATAAGCTCTCCTCAAAGCGTACGTTCCTCTGTGAGGTCCGTCTCTTGTCCCGGGAGAAAAGGCTAAACCTGGGGGACAGAAGAAGGGGCAGAGGGGGGTAGGCAGGTTAACTATTTTGTAGCCAAATGATAAACCCAAAAAAGCAAGAAAGGGCATGTAATTCTAAGCAGCTGATTTAGGCATTACTGTTGTTAACCCGTGTGACTAGAAACCATTAAAAAATGAAGTGCAAAGGATTTCCCTATTTCAAAGCAATAAGTAGAAAAGCAGTTATTTACTAAAGACTATGAAAACAGCAACAGTGAGGGCAAGTTCTGTGCAGAAGCCTCTTGTCAACAGATTAGTGACATTACATTATGTTAAGAGCGTCACCTAGCCTGCCTGCTGCTGCCATGGCGAGCTTCCGCTCAGCTGTGCACAGGGACAAACATATTTTCAGACAAAACCAACACCCTTGTCTTGAGGATCTTCTTTGTATGTCCTAGTGGACTGCAGTGTCTGTAGGTTATCATTCTACTAGGGAACCTTGAAGACTTTTCTGGAAAGTGACTGCACAGGGGCACCTGAACACACACCAGAGTGACCCAGAGGGGGGTCCCACCTCACCCCGAAAGTGAGCTCACAGTGCCCTCCATCTCTGAGCACCCATCAGTCATCCTCAGGACATAACTGCTGTAATTACTTGCTTGGACCCTAATTAATCCATTGCAAATCCTTTCAAGCACCAATTAAAAAGCCTTCTGTAAAACCAGGCTGCTCAGCCCTTTTTGTGTGGCTCCCCACCCACTCTGTTTTTCCAAAACCAGCACACCCACATTAAATAGCTGGGGGACATTTAGGATAATTGTAGGAACAGCTGAGAACCCCATGGTGTTCTGGCCCTCAGTGGGGGGGGGGGGGCTGGCTTACCATAACACCAATAGTGGGTGTTAATTCAGGTGTCTGTCTGTCCCAGTACAACAGGCCAGGTCAGTGGGGAGGCTATCAAATGTGTCAGTATGTCAGTAACAACCACTGGTATCCAGTAAAGCCTGGCTTCTTCCATGCTGTACATGAAATCTACCACCAATCAGGTATTACATCACAGTTAACTACTTTTTGCAGCAAACAGCAGTATTGCCATTAATACGTCTTTCACTGAGACTGAGCTCTTGTTATGGTTATCAGCGCTTGAAGAACACGTAGGGAAGCAGGAAACATAGGATCTGCTACCAAGCACCAGGAAATGGCAGGAGCTGAATGATGGGGTCATTCTGAGTGGCTTTCGTTCCCAAGGCTGTTCTACTGCTAACAGACAGACACCCAGCAATTAGCCAATCAGAATACCCCATCTGTGACATGTGCCTCTAATTGCCAATAACATGCAGAGTGGGGTGAGTTAAAAATGTAAAAATGCTCCATTTAAAAAAGGCAACAACACAGAAAAAAAACGATTGTCATACAAAGGAAATGAGTCTTCTGATTGGCTGTAAAGTGGGGTCATCTGGAATCAATCCAGCCGCCACCATCGGCATTATGGCTGTAAATATCCTGTCCAGAGAAGCACAGACAGGGAGAGGTGAGCGAGAGTGAGATGACAGATGCGGTGGGAATCACAGGAACATGGTGGCATTAATGTGCAGGAGGAGGTACAACTGAAGTGGGCTGGTCATTGAACCTAAAACCTACAGAAATCACAAGGCCTGAGATAAGCCATGAGCTAAAAACCTACACAAACACACAGAGTAGGCCAGAGCAGGGCTTGGCACATCAAACAGACACGGCGCATAAGAAACTAACCTTCCTCCTGTATGGTCAGGCCTAGCAAAGCTTTGGGAGCCACTTTATTTAATCACTCACCTTTTTAAACAACAATCTTCATTTCATGTAAAAATAAACATGTTACAGAAACCCCCATCATTCACGCCTTCCTACATTTTCCTGAGAGCCCCTTTGTCTGTTATTCCTCATATGAAATGAATGAATTTACGGCAGCATTAAAATATCCTGGATATATTAATGCATAAAGGGTTAAAAACACTAACTTTTATCACACCGACAATGAATGGATATGTACAGAAATAGGCTTTCATGAACATGGACAGTGGGGTATCAGTCATAGTATCACCAATACATACCATCCTTTTCGTTTCACATAAGTCTGGTTGGGTAGTTTTTGTCATTAGGATTGCAAAGGGGTAGAAGATACCCGGATGGGACTTTGTAATGCACTGTGGTTTTCTGGCTACTTTTGGTCTGCACTGTGGTTTTCTGGCTACTTTTGGTCTGCACTGTGGTTTTCTGGCTACTTTTGGTCTGCACNTGCACTGTGGTTTTCTGGCTACTTTTGGTCTGCACTGTGGTTTTCTGGCTACTTTTGGTCTGCACTGTGGTTTTCTGGCTACTTTTGGTCTGCACAGTGGTTTTGTGGTTACTTTTTACCTCTTAAATGTGCGTGTTAGAGTCTACACCAGACGGTGTGATGGCCAAGCCATGGGAATATTTTTATTGTTTTAAATATTAAATTAAACTATAAAAGTGGATATATAATTTTCAGAAAAGCAATCAACGACCCCCCAACTAATCCATCCAGGCATGTGTTTGTGTTCAAGAAAAGGGAAATGTGCTTGTGTTTAATAAAGTGTTAAGTTAAATTTAAATTACTTCAAATTCTCTCTCTTTTTATTATCCTACTTACCGGTAGTTTTTATGTTTGACAACTGTATGTACACAGGAAAATATAAATTCCTCAATAATTTCCAAATATTCCCATGAATTCCCATAGAATGTTTACTCCTCTGAAAATTCCAGGAATTTGCATCCCAATTTGTCACAAATAAATATATAATGTTCAAAAAATACAAACAAAACAACAGCACAATACTACCTGCCACCTTTTCAAGCAAAATCTGAATCTGTATGAATATGATAATAAAGACTATTTCAGGAACATACTGTCATGAGAAAAAGTAAGTAAACTTTTTGTAATTTAAAATTAAAATTTAAAAGTTTTGTAATTTTAAATATATTTAGATGTGGATGTCTGGTCTTCGCTTGAATGCTAGCAGTTGGTTAACAAAAAATGGAAATTTTACTGCTGTCAAAAACAGGCAATTGAATCATCTGACTACCAACCTTGACTTTAGCTAGTCTTACCAAGAAGGTGGAATCCTATCAGGAAGGTGTATCTACAGCCTTAGGTCAAGGCTGGTCAAGGAGAGACTGGAATATGATGTCACTTCAGTGCTGAGAAACATTGTAAACAGCGATTTACAATGCTAGCGATTGTCTGGTTTCAGCAAATGGTAAACAGGTTTTTAGAAGTCAGTCTGACCTTTGCTGGCACTTCACTGTCTGTGCCACAGACAAAATGAACACTTTGTCTACTAATTAACCAATCAGAGCTTTAAGAGAGAAACAGGGAGGGGCTCCTGACTGTAGAACAGTCACTGAAATTTAGGGGTGTAACAATACACTGTGGCGTGATATTTTGCTATTTAAAAATATGACGATACACATTGCAGGGGTGTAACAATGCCCCGTGGCACAAAATCATATATTAATGTCAACACACGAGGGCACAACAGGCATAATCTCAGTTTTTCCTCTAGATTAGATTTTTGCTATTCGCATTGGAGTCTGCAGAATAATGAAAAAACTGCAAGAAAAAAAAAAGGGTTTGAAAACGGCGTTTTTTTGGTAAATGTAAATGCCTAAAAGAGGAATAAATAAGAACTGTGAGATCTTAGTTTGTCTTATGGAAGCACGAGCCCTGAATTGTCTATCGAACAGAATCGTGAGTAGATTGTGTCGTTACACCGCTGCCAAACCACTGCCTATTCTATGCTCTCAGCGAAGCAGGTCTGTATTTAATGTCTGGCAGTGCTTCAGTGAGTCTCCCTTCAGCATATCCCCTTAGAGCAGCATCTCAGGCCCATCAGCATTCCAGTTTCAGTGAGTGTCATAACAACACACGTGACAAACATGTCAGGGACAGTGACTTATCTGGCTGGTCCAAAGGGTGTTGTGTGTGTCTCTGTAACCGATCATTTGTAACAGTCATGGCTCTCTTCAGTACTCACAGACGCTTGATCCCAGACTCAGGCTGAACGTTGGGACGCGGCCGCATTACTGGGGAGGGCGTTGTGGCTGGGGGGGCTGTCTCTTCCTCTGCCTCCTCACTGACAGAGATTGAAAGGGTGTTAAAAGGGGGTTTACCAGTAAGCAGGACAGGATCTGCAGAACAGCCTGCAGGTTGCAAGTCTCCAGAGGGACACTCTGGAAATATTTTAACCTGAATTCCCTGAATAAAAATATCCAGCTGTGTAAATGGGTTAAAGACAATAATGGCCTCACCTTTTGTAGTAGCTCAGCTCCTCCTGCAGCATGAACACTTTGGCTTTGAGCTCATTCCTCTCATGCAGGACATCCCTCAGCTCCTGGAGAGTGAAGCGGGGTCGGTTGGGGTCTTTCAAGTCCAAGGCATTCTTCTCCTCTGGCATTTCCTCCTCACAAAATGCCTCCTGGTGGACATTAGTGATAATCATAATGTCATTTCAGTGGCAGACATTCAGATGTTGATGGTCACACGGTAGCAAGCATGCTGATCTCTGAGTTACCTCTGTACAGTGGTGACATCAATAGTGAAAATGAAAAATCTCATTTTACTATAACATAGCACAAAATGATTACAACTGATGTTATACATGCTTCCTCAAGGGGGCACCAGCTATCTTCCAGTCATATGCAACCAGAATTTTTAACGCTTGCCTGAATTTAATTTAAGCATAGGCGTTCAATACTGCACCAAGCAGTTGAAGGCCTAGTTAAATTCAGAAACACAACAGCCTCAACAGGCTTGAAAATTGCACTGGATGAATGGTGTCCATTCAATGATCATCCCACTAAGATAACACAGGAAGTGAGTTTGTGCCACAATGTGGCCATAACTTATCCCAGACACTATGGGCTAGTGTTCAAACCACTCTTCATGGAACTGTAAGCCAAACACCTTGGGAGTTAGTGGGTTTAGACCACACATACACACTCCATTCTGATGTTAGATGGGGGTGTCAAACACATGCACACAAATATACACACTAGTGTAGGTGGAGACAAAGGGAAAGTTGTCGTCCTGGTAAGATAAAACATTACATCTTACATGGGGGTTAGGATCACTGCAAGTGCCACCCAGGAGAGATGCCACTAGCGGTTACCCATAGCAACACAGCTTCTTCCTCATCCTCAACATTTTCCCTCCCTTCCTTTGGCTTCCTGTTCTCAAAGCGAGCGGGAAGGGAAAGGTGATCCACTGCTTCAGGGCCCTTCAAGAGGAATTCTGAACTGGTGCGGCACTCAGCCCAAACGGAATCCTGAAGGTCTGAAACTGCCCCTTCTGAGATCTGAGGTAACAACACAGCGGGGCCTCGTTCAAATCAGCCTCTGATGCGGTTTGGACTGAAAGCTTAAGCAGTCTTTTTAGACGGACACTATATAAACCTGTCTAACCCTCCTGTTCTGCCATTTCAAAAATTATTATATGTCTCAGTTTGTTGAAATTGTAAGAGAATAAGCATGTCTCTCACTCATAAGGAAAACTGGAGTCCAGATGAAATTAAAACAGGAATAAGTTTGAAAATAATGTTTTTTGAAGTCCCATTCTCTGTTGGACAGGCATCCGGTTCCCATATTGGGAAGAAGAGATTATTGACATTTATGAATTTGGGGAGTGCTTCATTTCCAAAGATTTCCCTAATTTCCTGTTCAACTAAAACACCTTCAACAATAATACACAGTATTTTGCATTAACTTCTACTAGTTTTACCATGCAACTCAATACAAAAAACAAAATCAGCAAAATCCTGCACATTTCTTAGCTGAGATCCATCAGGAGTTGACAAGCAAGGACAGCTTTTGATTCAACATGACTCTACAGACACATGCAGCCAACACTGCAGGTACTGGCTCCATCTAGCTAGGAGAGGACTGAGAGTTACCATAGTTCACATACAGCATTCTTTTTCATCTTTATTCATCTTTGGGCCACCAGGGGACACACTTCAAACACATGTCCTAGGAAATCAGCTACTTTCTTGGCCTTAAAGTCTTCAGAAGACTCTGGTCCTGTTTGCTCAATGCTAACTTGCTCTTACACGTAAACCTGCAAGCCTGTAAGCCCCTGTTGTTGCGGTTACCTGGGGTGGTGAGGAGGGCTCCTCGCCATTCTGGCTCAGCGCCCCCTGCAGGCGTTCCCGTAGCTTGGCCACCTCCTGCCGCAGACCTGCCAGTTCCTGCTGCCGCGCCTGGGCCGCGGCCTCCAGCTCCACCTTCTGCTCGATGAGCGCCTTGCCCTGCGCCTCCACCAGTGTGATTCTGTGCCGCAGGTCGTGATTGATCTTCATCAGCCGGTTCTGCTGCTGCTGGAGCTGGAGGAACAGGGAGGGAAGAGCACACGCGTGTTCACAAACATACACGCCTGCGTGAGCAGGAGCTGGACCAGGGGAATCATGGTCTGGCTGTCAGGTGGGAACATTATACTCTTATATTATACTATAAGATTTTGTTAAAGCCCTTGAATATTCCTATTAAAAGGACCTTATATTTGTATATATGATATTAATAACATAATAGATGCTTATTATTAATTATATAGCAGTGGTCACCAACTAGTCAATCATGACTAACACGCTGATCTTTCAGACATTCCTAGTTGATTGCGCTGCATCAATTAGCACCCTTAACTCTGCTGTGTCAGGTCATTAGCTAACTGTATTAGCACACAGAGGTTGCATTCGACACTGAGAAACAACGCCGACATCCCACCTCTCCCAAAAGTTTTGCGAACCCCCCCAGGTAAATGACTTGCTTCGTTGGTGTTGCCATCTCCCCCCTCCCACTCTGTTTTCAGTGTCATTTATGAGGAGGGCTAGAGATGCTGGTCTTACAGCCTCGACATCCTCGTTCTTTAGCGTCAGCTCCCGGTCCTTCGCTCGGATCTCGTCCCTCTGCTTGTCCACCACCTCCTTGAGCTTCTTCATCACCTGCCGTTCCCTCTCTGACATGCCTGTGCCGAGAAACCGGGATCTGGTCGCATTTCACCCAATTACAGCACTGCCACACACATGCATTATTGACACATGGACTGGATGTCTCATCTTATCTCAACGCCCTGCTGTAACGACCTTGGTGATGCATGCAGTCATTAAGACTCCAAATAAGAGGCTCATGTTTCGTACTACGAAGGCCATGTTCTATGTAAATTGTTATTGTTTAAAAAAGAAGTCATATATCCATCTTCTAACTGTTTATCTTCATCAGGATCATGTGAGGCCTGGAGCCCATTCCAGACAGCACAGGACACAGGACCCAGTAAGGGATGCCAGTCCATCGCAGAGCGCAAGATGCCAATTAGCCAAACTGCATGTCTTTGGGCTGTGGGAGGAAGCCAGAGACCCTGGAGGAAATTTGCACACAGGGAGAAGATGTAAACCCCTCACACAGAGCAGGGTGACATTCAATCCCAGTGGCAAGACTAGAGGGGTGCAAACCACACCAGATGACACCGGTGATGAACCATTAACTGAATCAGCAAATTTCCGCCATCATCATCCCCCCTCCATTCCTACAAGTCTAAAACTCCATGCTAATTCACTTCTGGAATCTTCTGAAGCGCCCAGTCAGAGCTGTCATTATTAACCAATTACAATGATGCTTCCATTCACGTGGTGTTGTCTTCATGATCTATTGTTTACGTTGTTGCTGGTGTTTCGCTGACTTTGTTAAGTTTTCTGGGCGGTATTCCATGAAAGTAGCTAAAAAAAAAAGGCAGACTTTCCCGAAAAAGTCAGACTCAACCTACCTCCATCTCTAAACTTAACCTCACGTCGTTCCACGAACGCAGTTCAGATTTGATTAATCAAGGTTCATTCAAGACAGACTAGCATAGTCTCACTTAGTGCGCACACCCGCGATATTTAAGAAGCCCAAATAAATGGATGAACGATAGATCGACCAAATGAGTTGGAAAGCCTGTAAACCGAGAGCGGTGTTTCTTTCCGCCGCAGAACAAACACTGCTGATGGAGCTGTATGAAAAATACAAAGATGTTATCGTTAAAAAAAGGCAATACTATGGCCATAAACACAGCCAGGGAGTTGGCTTGGCAATGAATTGCAGACATACTAAATGCATAAGTTACGTAAATGTTACAAATGCTTCGTACAGTGGCATGGTGGTACGTGGTTTATGCTGTCGCCTTATAATGCAAAGGTTGTTGGTTCAATCCCCATAGCCAACAGAGAGCCTTCTGGGTTGATTTCATCTGTCATTATTACTATATAATATTATTTGATCTCCGTAAAATACTTTAAATAACATCTGTGTGAAATGTTCTCTTTGCTATTTTAGTAGTAAACTTTCAAAGTAGACAGTAACTAAAAATATAAAGATATGTTCCTGTTCATATTATTTTAACGAATTTTTTTTCCCCAATAACAGTCATTGCATTTCATGTTTCACCTTTGTAATATGCGTACGCTTTTATTTTACAGTAAAATACCGTTATAACGGACTTCAAGGGACCTGGCAAAACAGTCCGTTACATCCAGAGTTGCTGTATGCCCAGAACACAACTACAGGACACTATTTACTCATGCCACACCTCAGCAGACACGCTTGTGGTATAGATTATTATATTGCAAATATAGTAATCCAACTTTACCTGACCAGATGCGTGACTATTAATAATCCCGACTACGTATCTGCGCTGGATATCGGAACTGCATGTCCGTTATGGCCGAACAGAACTACAGCTAAAAGCGGCCCTGGGGACTAAATTGTTTGTCCATTATAAGCGAAATTCCGCTATATCCGAAGCTTTTTCTGCATGTTCTTAAAGTCGCACGGCCTGGACCAGCGGACCTCGTCCGTTATGGACAATATTCCATTATAAGCGAGTCCACTATAACGGGATTTTACTGTAATTATTTTGGAATTAATTGGAATGCTAAGATGTGATTTTATAGACTTTATTGTATTGATTATGTAGCAATCTCAGCTCTGTTCTCCATATTATGGAAGTATCACGCAGGGCGATCAAGGATTTCCGATCTTGTGAGTTGGCAAAAGGTATTGATTTCGATGAAGTGATTCGCAAGTGTGCAGCTTTGAAGGCCAGGAAAGGAAACTTCTGAATTATTTGGTAAGTGCTGAAATACTTATGTATTTGTTCCTGTTTATTTTTACAGTATTTAATTTATGAGTGTTTTTACAATTGCATTTCATCATTTGCGCTGTTATGAAAACCTAACCCATTAATGTAGCTTCTCATGTTGACTTAACAGTAAAGTTTAATAAGTGTTGATGTAGTTTTTAGATGTTTTTACTTTGAATTGTATTTTCTCACTATAGTTTCATTTTAGCCACATGAAACTCGCTAAATGTAAATATGCACTGTGCATATGATATTGTAATTTAATGGTGCAAACCATATAATTTTAATTTTGTTAGTTATGTCACTACATTACTTTCGGTGATATATGATTAACGAGCAACACTAGAACAACCTTTACTAAGGATTCTGTGTAGTCCGGTATAGGAAGAGGTCCATTTGGGGGGGGGGGGGCAACCTTAGGGATGCTGCTGTTCAAACCCTCAGCTCTGCAGGTGCAAGGCTACTGTGCTGTCCTCTGAGCCCCCCTGCTGTCCTCTGAGCCGCCCTGCTGCCCTTAAGAAATTCCAACTATTCATTCATCCATTCTCCGTCGCTCATCTGGGCTTATTTTATTAAATAAGAAAGATACAAGAAGATCCCACATATGACAAAATGGCCACTGCAAAATATAAAAGTTGAAAATATAATGCAAAATATTTAGGAGTGGATTTCAAACACCCTTCTGTGTAGATTTAAAACAAACAAAATACATTTCCCTGTTCAAGTTTATTATAAATCACATGTACACATATTTTTGGTTACTGATGGCACCTAAAAGACAGAACCTGCATGACTGGCTTTTATGCAGAGTTTTGCCAAATGCATGCTAGAGCAGGTATGACAGCATTTATCCTGCTGCACTTTCCAAACGTAACTGGGAAAGCAAGACACCACTGCAGGATGACAAATATAGAGACGACCCAATTTAAAGTTTCCACGACATGCGTTTGACTGTGAGGATAAATATAGGCTGCCCAAGCACGAGAGACACATGGATTCATTTCGACCTCAAAGTTCTCTCCACTGCCAAACATCACTCTGTCTGAGGGCCACATAACCAACGCACACTCACACACACAAACACAGACACACTAACACAGAGACACACACACACACACACATGTAGGCATACCTATCTAAATGGGGACCTTCCATTCATTTCTGTGGGAAAAACCCTAATCCCAATCACAACACCCTTAACCCCTACTCATCCCTAACCTTAACCATAAATAACCAACCCAAATACAAGACTTTTGCCATTTTTACTTTTTTGATTGCATTCGCAGATTTTTACAGAAAAGATGTCCCCAAAAATAGGGAAATTTCAGGTTTTACTACACTTTGGGGACAATTTGGTACTCAAATGTGATCTATGCAAACCCCTGAGATCCATCAGGAGTTGTCAGGAGTTGACAAGCAAGGACAGCATTTGATTCAACATGACTCAACTGATATGTGCAGCCAACACTCCCCCCCCCCCACACACACACACACATGGCATGATTCTCCTCTGTTTACATGTCATGTTGAGGGAGATTTGGAAACATATGCAAATATACACTTGGATGGTAAACTTTATACTAGCACCACTCTGGTCACAAGACACCTAAAGATACCAGACGACGGGAGTTAAAGTATAACTCATCATCATGGGGTCTTTATGATCATACTGGCCATGGCTTTTAACTGTAACAATCCCTGGATATTAACTGACAACATAATAATGGTCTTGTTGGTGCTTTGAGCAGGTTAAGTGTTACATGGTGGCTGAGGTTCCCCAAAAAAGCTCCCTTGGGTCATTGATACTCTGATGGCGGCATGTTCATTAATTACTCTTGCATTATTCACTAAGAGAAATGCTTTTTCTCTTGAATATACACATCATCTCTTGAGTACGAGTGCTGTCTGTGCAATCAAGGGAGTATGACAAGAGGTCCTCTCAATGTCCTGTTCGTCTGGCGTGTTTGGTGAAAATGACGTAACCCACCCCCCCACTCATCGTTTAGAGGACAACAAAGGACTGTCATCGATCGATACGGCTTCCTGAACATCGAAAGGAAATAAGCTCACTACTCAGCAAGTCGCCAGTCCAGGCCCTCGAACAAACAGTGCTTTCAACCTCCTCATGTCCCTTCGTAAATGCTAGTCACCTCTAATGACCCTTCATCCTTAGCTTATTCACATGACACTAAGAGGAAAAGGATGACAAAATGAAAACGCCTTGGTAACAGGTGGAATGGTCAAGGTGCAGCATATAAGCATGGTCTGATATGAAGCATAAACTATGAATGTAGGATGCCTGGAAGGCTATTTAGCAGACTAAAAAAGCTGGCTAGTGGCCATGACGTATCTTGTTGGTAACGTCAGGCTTGGCAAATAAAGGAAAGTCATCATCAAAAATGAGTAACACTGGGTGGAAGTGCATACCTGAAGTCAGAGATAGTCTTTCAGAACTTCAAAGTACCTTTATGGCTAACATTCAAAATCTCAATTTACGCCAGTGCCTGTAACACCTCTAACAGCCATAAACGACCCAGATGTCACCCAACAAGGAACCTGAAGATGGATACTTGTTTTATAACCTGTCACATTTACACGTGTCAGCTGTACCTTTTTTTTTAATTTTTTTTAATTCAGGTTAAATTCGCCACTCAGGACTTTAACAGCTTTGCTTCTCATGGGAACTAAAGCTTGAAACCCCTAGACCAGGGTTCTTAAAACCTGGACCTCGATTCCAAATCCAGGCCTTGTTTTCAGTTCTCCCAGGTAGTTAGTTACCTGATTCTGATTGGTCAGAGGCTTCACACCTGACTGACAGGTAAAGGAAGGCTGGAAAACCAGCAGTGCTCGGACCACGAGGACCATGATTTAAATAACGCTGCCCTAGACCCAAAGTCCATGCAGGTTCCCTCAACAATGGCACCGCAGCAGGTGCAGACAGTTCCTCAGCCATACCTTCTTGCCTCTGCAGGTCCTCCTCAGACAATGGGCAGTCCTTGTAGGAGAGGTTGTTGAGCAGGGTCTTGTTCTCGGCCTGCAGCTGGGCAATCTGGGACAGCAGGTCCTGAGCTTCCCCCCTCCACACATCCTCCACCAGCTCCAGCTCCTGTGAGTTAAATGGGGAGCGGCGGTCCCAAGCTTCTTGGTGGTTCAGGGCACACAAGCTGCAGGTTCATGCAAGTGATACAACACAAGGGATCCGCACGAGCCAGAAATCGGTAATATAACACCAGTAATTAAACTGGATTATTTTGACACACAGGCGTGCACAGTTACACTGCAAAGCAACGGAGCAGTCCCTCAAACGATCGTTCTCCCCGGCATAATGCGGTCACTGATGTGATCAGCGTTTGTTATCAAGCACAATTATTCTGTCAAACGCAATATTCAATCTGACAACTTTTCGCCTCGCTGTTATTTTTTTCTGGAATAGTACTCAATAGGAACTATGACCTCGGAACAATTTAAATGGGAACTTTTTCAAAGAATCTCTTGAGATAGGCCTACCTGAAAGCAAATAAAAAATTTAATTTTTCCGCCATAATTAGACCTTCACTGAGTCTCCCTGAGAAGTTAAAAAGGGCTCGCTACGATCTGGTCGCATTCCTGATTTTCTTTCTCAAACTCCAGATTGTTTTTCAGTCATATTTTATTACGATCATGTGAGCGGCTGGAAAGCCAGCCAGAAAGATGCCAAATACATCGCATGAAGAAGCTATGACGAGGCAGCTCCAAAAATAAAATCACGTTCGATATAGAGTATTATATGATATATAAAAATAATATTAATAACAATATTGGCTTAGAATAATGAATTCGTTATCTTAATGCTGAGTTTCATATGAGGAGCCATATTGTTTTAAAAATCCATAATCGCTATAACTGAAACACCTCGCCGCATTTAAACAATAAATTTTAAACAAGTTAATATGCAGCTGAAGAGACCGCTGTCATTACTCGTAAATTGCCCAAAAGTTTTCAAAAACTTGTGGTCTGTGTATATACCAGTGTTGAGCGGATACTCAAAAATAGTTTCCTGTTGCTTTACTGTCATTGGCATTGCTTTGTGGATCACTTGTTGGTATGAGAAAAGATAATATTCGCAAAGATTAAATTTAATTGTATATATAGATTCTAAAAATAAACAATGACCGCACCGGTATCGACGTGAGCCAATGTTTCCGTGCGATCCAAGGAATATACTAACGCCTATCGGAAAATGAAAAGCAAGAGTCCGAGGGGAGTGTGCTGGAAATGCCGGGACACTATTCTCATATGTGCAGATACTTTGGTTCGGGGAAATACGGGACCTTCTGGTGCTTCTTTTCCTTCTCCAGCCGGTCCATCCGTTCCAGCCGCAGGCGATCCAGTTCCAGACGCAGCTCCTCCGTCTCCGGGCTGATGCTGTTGCGGCTGACCAGCACCTCCAGGATCTCCAGCACTCGCACAACCTTGGGCATTAGCCTGGAGAGCGCTTCGCAGCCGTACTGGTCTATGATCCTCTCAAACTCCTGTCCCACCACTGCGGCTATGTCGTACACGTCCATGACAGTCAGCTCGGTCGCATTCTTCTCCATCGCCGACCCAAAATCTTCCATGACTGCCTCCCACCCTCGACAATGCCGTTCCTGTTCTCCTCTATTTCCTTCCAGCCGAGTTCCTCCCGCAGGCCCTCCTCGTTTATTTCACAGGACTGCTTTCCGCGTTATTAACAAACTCCCACGGATCGCTAATTAGGCGGCCACCAGCACTCGTCCATTTTCTTTGCTCAAAGCTCTCCGTTGATAGCATGTAACTAAAACTCAGGCGGCTCCATAGCAGTCCGCAAATTTTGCTGTGCAAGACCAGGCTGGGCTGCAGCAAAGTCAGTGCGCATGTCACAGCCGTGCGGCTGGATGTGGCTGCTGCGACCCGGCATTGAGCGCTCTTGCGGCGTCAGGGCGGGACTACCCAGGTCACCAAGTCCTGCTGTAATTTCTGTCGTTTCCGATCATAACTTAGTTAATTTGGTTTGTTTTGGTATCATGTTGTACTATGCCCAGTTCATTTCTGTATATTTTGATATACGTAAGAATTGAACTGTCAGTACTAGGGTGGGTGTGTGTGTGTGTGTGTGTGTGTGTGTATATATATATATACACTTACCTAAAGGATTATTAGGCACACCTGTTCAATTTCTCATTAATGCAATTATCTAATCAACCAATCACATGGCAGTTGCTTCAATGCATTTAGGGGTGTGGT